ACTTGGTTGCAGGTGGGTGACTTAGTACTAACGTTAAATAAGCGTAATATGTATTTGAGTTTCAATTATGATGGTCTTATTTTTTTGCAACTTTATAAATGAGATATGAAATTTTTAGAGCAACACACTCCAACCCATGTATTGCAACATTATCATGACCAACTAGACCAGATGAGAGATGATTAGGTATATCATGTGAATTTAGTGTTCATAATTTTAAAGTTTGTTGATTAAATGGATGTTGGGTATGTTATACCATTTGTGGATGGTTGGTGGGATGATTGCATGTTGTTATTATGGATGTTTAGTGGGATGATTTTGTTTTGTGATTATGGATGTAAGATGTGTTGTACATGTTTAAAATTTGGCATTGTCATATTTTTATAGGGAACCCAACCCAAATTTTTTAAAAATATTCAAAGTTTTTAATTTTATTTGAAGAAGGATGATGTTGCAGAACTAGGCAGTATGATTGTTTGCTGTGAGTATGCAAAAATTGGGACTATTGTGTATAGGTTAAAAATATGGCAAGGTCCTATTATTAGGGGAAACAATGACCATTTTTTTTAATATATGCATATTTTAAAAAATAATTTATGACTGTTGTGTTTTAGATGATATGGGAGCCATACACTGTTGATATCTTGAGTTGCCTACCTGCTTATTACCTCGATGGACAGGACATTTGGCGCACACGGTCTCCACTTATTTGTTTCTATATGGTGAGTGGAATTTCCCCAATTGTGTTGGGTGACAGTTTAGCCTCGTCCAAGCCATCTTAGAGGCCTGTGATACTAGTAGGGTGTTACATGACATAAATCATCTTGGCAGATTAGGTCGGGATTGGAATATTGTTCATCTAGCGTACATTAAGATGTGGGCTCATCATTAGGATCATCTTATAGATCCCATTGACGAGTACATGGTATGGTATAGGCGCATAACTCATCAATTGGTTGGCCACCTACTGGTAGGCCTCTTGTTGGTTTTCATCTTGTCGGCAAGATCATTGAGCTGCTGGTAATAATTTCACAATTGTTTTAATATTTTTTTAATAACAAGTCACAATCAATACTTATGTTAATGTTTATTAATATGCAATGATTTTTTTTTTGTAGGAAGACATTCACAAGAATATACCACATCAGGATCTACCTATGAGGGCAGCCCATATCTGGCACTTTGCATGTAGACTATTAGACATATAAGAGATATAAGCTCTGGTTGTTTAACAGCAATTCTCGAGCATCGATGACTTTGTGCATTTTCCATTCACACCACATGTTGTTCCTTCTACATCTTCGTAGCCACCACTGCCTGCACATGTTGATGTTGCTTCTACATCTTCCCCACCACCACCTACAACTTCACCTGGATCGACACCTCATTGGCAGCTTCACCTACACCTATACCACCACTTGCACCGCTTGTTTCACCTGCACAGCCACTAGCACTGCCAACTACATATTCACTACCACACAAACCTATATCACCAGCTACACATGCACCTCCATCTACAACTGTTGCTTCTACATCTTTATGATCTATGGCATATGTTGATGCATTGCCACCAGTAGTGTCAAAAGTTGTGACACCTCCAGTTGCATTGACACCATCAACTACACTTGCAGATGTTACAATTTGTATACCACTACCGCCTCATGTATCTATGGGATCATCACACACATACGACACCTTTTGATGAGCATCCTTTACTAAATCCTATGTTACATTAGGAGGGGTTGACACAAGAGGATACACTTATAGGTAGAGGTCATGGGAGAGTCGGACCAAAAATTTGAGGCGGACAATGGGGGCGGGGTCATGGACATCATTACGGCAATGTCACTGCATTACAAGTGACACAAGAGGGACTAAATGACATTAAGTATGAGTATTGGTGATAGTTGAAGTGACGCAAGCGACCACCTCCATATGAAACTTAGCTTTTTTTATCGTATTTTGGTAGTTGTACTGTATAGACATTCAAATTTTTAATAATTGTATATAATCACTACACGAATTTCAATTTTTATGTTTCATTATGTTGTCCCAAAGAAAACCATTAATGTTTGCAACACATTTAAACCAACTTTAAGAAAATTTATAAACAAAACAAATAATACTAACTTTGAAGAAACACCTTTAATAGAAATATAAGAAACCAACATAATGTAAACAAAACAATGCGAATATTGTTCACATGTTACAACACAATAGTAACATAACACTTATTAATGGTTCATGTGTCTATATCTTTGTCAGACATCTCAACATCAGAAATACATCCATCTTTCCCACTCAAGCAGAAGCTAAAATATGCTTCTTCTATCAACCCTTCTTCAGAATGGTCTCATGCGATCCAACAAAGGTTGTACCGATTTGGGTGGATTGCAATGTGATTGTTCTCATATCAAAAATGAAACAATGTTTGCTCCAATTCTTGAGGAGTGTCAATTGGTATATCAATGCTAATTTGTCGAGACCTTCATATATTGCAAGTGCACAAATCTTCACTTAGTTTTTTTCTTTTCCTCAAATAATATTGTCATTTAGCCATCATTATGCTTATGGCCTTACTTGAAAAATGTAAATGAGGAATCAATGAATAGAAGAACTCATCCTCTAACTCCTAATAATGACCTAGACTTTAAAACAATGTTAGCATACTATAATTCATGGTTTGAGATGAAGTGTGTACAATGAGGCATTTACACACATTGAATAAATAGTCACAATGAAACTACTTGTGGAATTATAGTTGCATGGCTTTTCAGTAAGTCACATGATGAAGTGACTAAGCCTTGATTCAATGAAATTGATGGTGAAGTGAAAAAACCTTGATTCAATGAAATCATTTGTTGAAGTGGTGCAACATGACTACACACAAGCGAAAGGACCTCAACACTATGCGAATATAGATGGCTAGGCTTTACAACAGACCATGTACTGAAGTGAAAAACCAATAATTTTTCATAAAAATTGATGTGGCGAGGACATAATGAAATGACTACACACTGCTGATATGGTTGAGCAACATGATGTAGTGATAAAGACACACTGCTGATATGGTTGAGCACTGTGATGCAGTGATGAATTGACTACGTACTGGTGAAAGGAACTCACACTTGTGCCACTATAGACTATTGAAAAATTAAAGCCTTCTAAATCTCTCTAAGATTTTACTATTTGAATTGACTTAACATTGTGGCTCGACAATACTACACACTAGTGATTTACCTCATTGTGTGAATATAGATTGGTGCAATTTTTAGCAAATCATGTGCTGAAGAAACCCAGATTTTTCATTAAAACTAATGCGGCGAGAACATATGTGTTACACTTATGAAATGACTACACACTGCTAATATGATTGAACAATGTGTTATTACTGAATATTGGCATAGCCGGCCTTCTCAGTCACTCTGTTGCCTAGCTTTTCAAAAAGCCATTTGATGAAATGACAAAGCCCTATTAGTGTACGAGCATCCATTGAAACTACCATATAAACACATTATACGTGGTTGATATCGCATATATTGAACATTATGTATACATCAAGAGGATCTATAGTTTATAACAATCGCAGACATCAATAGGTATGTTATTAAAAGAATGAAATGATGATTACAAGAGTGAGAGATTTTTAAATCCAAAAGAGTATTATGTGGGATTACGATGAGAGTGGGCATTTCATGCTAATGAATCAGACGGATTATGCACACAACTAAGAGAACTTGGCATACGGATGCCACATAGGCATTCAATAACTATGTAATGAAGAAATAGAAAAGACTAAGAATCAACAATTAAACATGTCTAATAAGAGAATAATAGGATGTTGGTGTGTAGCTATTGATATTATATGCTCCAACTAGCAACAAACATGGTGGGAACTAGATATGGAAGAGAGATGGCAGATGTTGAGCGAAATACTGTCTTGTCTAATGACCATTACCTATCAGATGATTATATGTCTGATGAAGATTAATAAGTGTAATCAGTGTCAATCTCTTATCTTTATAAGTAGTAATTAGTGTAAAGTAATCTCATAGCTTTGTTAGTGCAATCAGTGTATTGTTATATCACAACTTTAATAGTGTCAAGTCATGTCAGTACTTTATCAATGTTCAGTTATGTCACATCTTGGCAGTGTGAAGCCATTTCAAAATTCTTTATAATCGCATTGTAAACTTAAAATGCTCAACCAGACCTATATAAACCATCAGTCATATCTATCTTATATATAGAAAAAAAAATGTTTAGGCGCACATCACATAGACATTCCAACCAAACCAACAAAGGTTCTTCATCAAGTAATGAACAACATAGTTCATCTTCAACTAACCAAGGTCAACATCGATTGACCAACCAACATTGTAGAACATAGTTCATTCTGTTGGATCATATATAGATTATGTTGGTGTAATGTGGAATGGACGAAGGCGTGAGTTCTACAATGAGCCCATTAACACTTATAACCCATTAGGGCACATTGGCTATGTAATTATTGGGCCTATAACTTACAATCCGCCTTCAGCTGCTCATATTAAACCCATACTAAGGTGGTGAGAGTTATATGACAAACATTGTGAGCTTGAAATATTATTGTCGTTGACAAAGACTATCGGTACCAAAGGCACATTCGACTAATACATACAACCCAAGAAATTAAAATAACCATGATGACATTGTGCATTAGATGCAACATTGTTTGATCATCTGCATTCAATTGAGTACTCAAATATTGAGCATTTTGATCCTGACTATGTCTTTATTGAAATTTTAGAGGATCTGTTATTTGTTTCAAATCCTGAACTTTTTGATTTTTTAGATACAAGTGATGATGAGTCTGAAAAATTTCTTCCAACAAGTTTATGTATATGTGGTAAACCTCTATGTTGTTTTGAATATCAACCATGCTATTGAAACACTGTATTTTATGCAATTATGCATAAGTAGCATTTTTTCATAAAATTATTATTAATGGATATGAGCAAATGGTATGGTTTCTAAAATTTTGGGGGAGAAATGACATTGTTCGATGAACTTATGACATTGTTTTGGAATACACAATTTTTTAGTTGAAACGAAAATTGAAGACATGATGAATTTTATCACAATGTTATTTGTGATAAAATAATGCCAAATATAAATCGTCATATGGAATGATGTCTTTAAAGGTGTCATTGAAAATGATGTTTTTAAAGATAAAAATTCCATTAGGAAATTGTTTAAAAAAATCCTTAAGATGTTATTCTAAATGACATCTTTAAACACGTCACTAGGAATGACAATTTGATGAGTTAACATATCAGAATTTGTTCAAGTTTGCCAACGTTAAAAGACGTCATTCCAAATAACGTTTTGAACCATGAAAGCATTATTTGAAATTATGTTTTCAAAAAGTGATTGGGCTTGGAAAATAAGTTTAAAAGTGACTGGTTTTGAAAAATAAATTTTTGAGGGGAATGGGTTTGATGCAAAGCTCCGAGGAGATAACTAAAAAATGATAGATTAGATACTGAAAAAATGGTTAAATAGATTAATAAATAATAATAAGGTTTAGTAATAAGTAATAACGAAAATAAGAATTAATTAATCAACACATAATTTATTATTTAATTTAATTATAAATATAATTTAAATTTTTTATTAAAAAAATATTATTTAAATATATTCGTGTGCAATATACATCATGCATTGCTAATCTATATCTATATTTTACTTCTAAATGTCACTTGAGATGAAAAACTTTTGATTACTTAAAATGTTCCTAGATATATAAAAAAAAAGACAACAATACCCTTTTTAGTATGTTGTATGGTCTTCCTAAGTGTTTTGTTACTTGTAAGTGTTGGTGCCAAATTTTTGATTTCTAATTATAACCTTACTTACTTGTATAATATCAGTAAAATACGTTATGTCCCTTCTTCTTTCTTCTAATGTCCTTCCATTCTTCTTGATGATGCACAAAAGTGGATTTATTTACAATCAACAGTCGAGTGTATAACTCCGAAAAATTAATGGAGTAATCAATAAAACAATTAATAACAGAAGGCGATAATGGTGGCCGGAGAACTTTATTAATACTGTAAAATGTGTGTGTGTGAGAAGAGAGAGAGAGAGAGAGAGAGAGAGCAAATGTAAGCTCTTAGTAAAGGTTAGGTAGCTATGAGAGAGATATCCGTGTAAAGGGTCTATGTAGAGATGCCCTTTTCATGTGGAGATGGCTTACAATTTATAGGCATAGAGCCTTGGTTGAGGTGGTAGCGTGATTGGTAGGTTACTAGCTTTTTGGGGAGGGTATTTACAACTAGGATATGTATAATTAAAGATAGTGTTGATCTCTTAGAGTGATTATCTTGGTAATTACTCCCCACGTGGGCTAATCTTCCTGACTCCTTCAACTTTGAATTGGGCCAAATCCATAAGCTGGGCTTGATCTACTTTGTAGCTGATTTGGACTTATCTTATTAATTGGACCTGTCCTAGTTAGATCTGGGCGCATCATTTGCCCCCCCCCCCCCAATGCTCCAAGCCCTTGCAATGACAAGAGATTGAGGGAATAAATGAGCTCTTCTTCTAGGCAGACTAAGTACCTTGTTCCCCACAACATCATCTTCATCTCCCCTGTTTTGTTGCTGAACACCCATTGTGTTGTCACTAGATCAAAAAGAATTTCACTTCAAAACCCCCCATTTCCCATTTAGGGCCATTCACAGAGTTTCAAATATTCACATAAATAGATCTTGGAATCACTCTCATTCCTTAGTTTTCCATTGTATTTTAGGTTAGACTACACATTCCTTTTCACTCTTTAAATCACAGAGATCTTCCCAAAGGGGATGGAGATCAAGGGAAGTGGATCACATTCGAAACTGGGTTCTAGTGATCTCCCGACAAGATTTTACAGAGATTCATACCTATCCATGGCGACGCCCATCATTGGAGGCAAGGGTCAGCACCATGATGCAGCTCCAGAGGGCTGCCATGCCCAAACTCAAATGGAAAAGAGAGAAGGATGACGTCCTTGGCAGAGGCGACGCCAATCGCAAGCTAACAGGTGGTGCCAAGTGTGCTCCAAAAGGCAACACCAGAAAAGGATATGAAGGCGATGTCAGGCTATGCGATGCTGAGGCTTCCTGGGACCAGGGTGATACCACGACAGTTGGATCTGGCGATGGCATGACGAACGTTGGCAACAATTGCCTAGGCAGCCCCTTGGGCATGTTGGGCAACGCCAAAGAAGGCCAATAAGGCGGTCCCCATGTTGGCGGCACCGATGGTGCATGTATTCTTAGAGAAGGAAGAAGACAGCTTGTGGGAGGCGATGCTAGAGAAGATTGGGCAGGCGATTACCATGGCGCCGATGGACCTGGTGGCATCACCATCGCTAGATACTCCCTTCGCGAGATTAGCTGCGTGGGTGATGATGGGGGCAAAAGTGCGTCGAGCTAAGCGATGCCACCAAAACGTTGGGCTACACCTTCAGTGGTTCATTTGGCAATAGGCAAGCTTCAAAAGACGGTGCCTCCAAGTGGACCTAGCCACTAGGCGACATCGACGGGCCGAAAAGATCCAGCGTGCGAATGATGCTAGGAAGTAGGTTGGGCAGAGCAAAAGTATCCAAGGCCATGGATGACACCCGAAGCAGAAGAAGTTAATGCGCTGGGACTGCTGGGGGGGAGGTAGCCACATGTCAGGTGGTGCCAAGCAAGTGTTGGTCACACCGGGCATCACTAGGGCCGCGCTGGGAACGCCGGGCGTGAGAGATAGCAAGCTAGACATAATTCGTGGCAAACAAGGTGATGTTAGTGGTGGCACTGAACCGGATTGTGGAAGGAAACAAGGTACCACCTTTCAACTAGGTAATGTAACCTTGTCAAAAATTTGTTTTTCTAATCTTGGCATCCTTCACTTTTATTAGCTTATCTTTTGTCAAATGCCCGAGCGGGTAGGGGCAATACGCCACATATGACACAAGCTTCGCACAAAGGCAAAGGATCTGCTAGAGGCGATGGATCAAAGGTATCCTCTATTTTTTGCTCAATTGACTGTGATGAGGATATCAACCACATTGTTTCTTTGTACCATATTCTTGTTACCATTATGTGTCATTGAGCTAAAGGAGATGAGTCAGCATGTTTTGACTCCTTTGGAGAGATTTTTTTTTATAAGGATGTCCTAGAGGCAGAGTTGAGGTTTCCAATGCTCGAACCCATCTATTAGATTCTGGGACACCTATCACTGGCTCCAAGGAGGTTGACTCCCAACAGTTGGAAGGTGATTACGACATTCTTTTCTCTATGGCGATTGGTCCACGGTGTTGATGTTCCTCCGCCTTTTGAGGAGTTTTTGACTTCATACGTACTTCTAGATAATCCTTCTCCTCATCAAGGATGGTATCATTTTGCCTCAAGGCCGGGCAAGTTTATCCCAAGGCTTCCTTCAAATTGCCATAGCTAGAAATCCAAGTTCTTCTTTATTGGAGGTGAGTGGGCCGTTGAGGAAGATCGTGACATAGAGCCTTCGAGGTAGGACACTGCTCCAAGGACCAAGTTAAGAAAGGGTTTTTTTCCTTTGCTTTTACGTCTAGTTGTTATTGATAGAGTAGTATATTAAAAGCTTACTTTTTGTAGTGAAACTTGTTTTATTAATTAATAGAAGTTTGTTCTTTTCATTTTATTGAGAATCTATATGCGTAAAATGTTAGTATTGTATTTAATATATGGTATGCATGTGTGTCTTATATTTTACATTATAAATAATTTGGTGTGTAGAGTTCAGCTTATGTATAGAAGACTAGATTATTGAATTCTTGTATAATATGAGTATAGGTTCACAATCTTAGATGAAATTGGACACACAATCAATATGATTGTAGTGTAATATTCTGACATAGTCTGTCTTGACTATAAGAGACTATTTGGTGTCTCGAATTATTGCACTAGTACACTTTGTGCATTGAACAGACTCATGTTAAAGTTATTATCTTTTATTGATTCAATAAGATAATAAATACCTTATGATTATTATGATTGTTTATGCTACTAATACCAAAATATTTAATTGTCACGTGAATATAATGTTTGTTTTCATCAAAGACTGGGATTCATATTGAGTCAATAAGCTCGTTAAATTAGGAGACAATGTTATTTATATGGTGAAAATTAATTATTAAAGGAAACCACGTCCGAGTATTTTAAATGGGTTGATAATGTCGTCTTAAGGAAGCTTATAAGTTTTGTTCATGTCAAACCCTGCAGGTAAATTTAATTATCTGACATGACTAATAAGTTGAGTGGTAAGGTCTCAAGGAATAAAAAAGTCAATTAAATATAATTGTCAGTAATTTACTTAATAGATGAACATCTGTAATCTTAAAACTGGGGATATTATTAAGCATATAATAATAAGGAACTCGAATATAATTTTGAAATAAGGCTCAGGAGATCAATAATAAATTTTTAGTGGACTGACTTATTATTAATGGGTTGTAGAATATTTATTCTGGGTTGAATATGGGAATTCTAACCCCATTGAAAGCTCAGTCCTTATTTCTCCTAAGGGTTTCGGTCATAGCCTATATAGACATCTAGGCTCTCTAATTCAGCATCTATTCTTTACTCACGTTTTTTAGAGAGGCTGAAAGGGAGAGCATAATTTTGAAGGTTCTGGCATCCCACTATGCATCCGGACTCTGATGTTAGTGGATATACAATAGAAGACTGTGAGGTTCGTTGAGCTATCTTCCATGTTTGTTATTGGTAGAGGCTTTTTACACCTCCAATGTGTCGTCTTCCCCTCCTCCCAAGAGGGTGAAGACCAATGCCCCTAGTGCTTCTTGGAATTCTGACAAACATATTATATCCTAGGAAGATAGATCAAAGGGTGTGCCCCCATTCTTTCTCAACACACAACTCGTTCGAGTGTCGGGGTCAGTCTGGCTACTACTTCAGGGGCAGAGACTCTTGTGTGGCTGCCCACCAGGTCCAGAGTTCCACCTAGTCGCTCGACTTCTAATAATGACTCAGTGTCCATGCTGCGGGATGTAAATCTGGCCAAGGAGCGGCTTTGGGGGTTTTTGACCACTGCGGATATCAGAGAGGTCGACTCTCATAGTCTAGAGGACATTATTGACACCGCAATGGAGGGGTTTTCCATGGTATGGCTTTTACTCCATTTTGATTTCATACCCGCCCTTTTTTCTCATGTCTTACTTTTTTCGAATGCTCGTAGGTGGCTATTGCTTTTTCTTGCCTTTTTTCAAGGATGATGATGCTTGGAGAAGCATTCGGGGATCTGGCAAAAGAGAGATAGACACATGAGGCTACAGAAGAACAATTAGGGCTCGAGAGGTAGTCACAAAAGGCTGCCGAGGAGCAGTTGAGACAAGCCTAGGAGAGAGTTGTACCCCTTGAGACCGAGCTTTTAGCGTTCCACAAGAGGGTCACCAAGTTGGAGACTGATAGAGAGGTTGCCTGCATGAGAGTAGAGACAGAGTTACGGGTGTCCCGTGAGAGGGCCGTTGGAGCTGAGGCCGAGCTATGGATAGCACGGGAAAGGACTATGGTGGCAGAGGCTAACCTTCAAACAACCCTTGAGAGAGCTACCAGGGTAGAGACTCACTTCATTGATATGGAGAAGATGAGGGATTCTATTGAGAAGGCCATTGCAAAAGCCTTTATTGATATTTATGAGGAACTTAGGGGAAAGGTTTCAGCAACTTTTCCTGTCTTTAACCTTTCTAGCTTCGTCCCATATGAGGCACCAGAGACTGATGATGATGAGGAGAACTTTGATGGGAGTGGATTGGGGAACAATGAGTGATGTTAGGAATATGACACATTATGAACTTCTATGGAATGAAAGACAGTTTTTGAAAAAGAATATCTTGCAAAATTTTATTTCATAATTTGAAGTAGATAACAACAAAATTTGACTAAAACCACAAGAGATAGTTTAAATGATAGCTACTGACTTGTACATCCATTAATTTGCCCCCTATTATTGGTAATACCTCTTTAGGTGTTCTGCGATCCACAGATGGGCCAGGGCTTTCCCCTCATAGTTTTAAATTTTGTAGGTGTTTGATCTTACAACTTCTATAACCATGTAGTGTCCTTCCCAATTAGGATCTAACTTCACTTCTTGAGAGTCCTTGGTAGATATGATGACCTTTTTGAGGACTAGGTCCCTAGAAAAAAAGGAGTGAGGCTTCACCCTCAAGTTGTAGTACTTGATCATGCGACACTTGTACTTTGCATTCCTAAGCATTATCATCTCCCTCTCTTCCTCTACCTACTCGAGGTTAATGCAAAGACCTTCTTCATTAGTGGTAAGGTTATGGTGTTGGATCCTAAGGGAGTATACCTCAATCTTGACTAGTATGACCGCCTCTGTCCCATAGGCTAAGGAGAAAAGGGGTGTCTCCTGTAGGGCTTCTTGGAGTTGTTTGGTAAGCCTATAGTACTCTAGCGAGCTCGTCCACCTATCGCCCCTTGGTGCTTTCCAATCTAATTTTTAGGTTATGGAGGATTATTCTGATGGTGACATCTGTCTAATCGTTCATTTATGGATTGGTTGGGTTGAAGTGAGGTTGCTTGATCTGCAGTTTGCACAGAAACCGTTCAGGAGTTTGTTGTCAAACTACTTGGCGTTATCACTTACTATTGCATGAGGCATTCTAAAGTGGTAAATTATTCTCTTTCAGATGAAATCTTTCACATTTTGGTCTATTATCCTGGCTAAGGTCTCAGTCTTTGCCCATTTTGTAAAGTAGTCAATGGCTACTACCATAAATATGCCCAAGCCCCAACTCATTGGTAGGGCACCTAAGATGTCGATCCCCACAAAGAGAAAGATCATGGGCTCAAGATGGTGGTGAGCTCTTCTAGTGGCTGTCTGGACACTGTTGCAAAGTGCTGACACTTGTCACACTTCCTCACAAACTCACGGGTGCCTCTGATCATGCTAGGCCAGTGAAAGCCTTGCCTTATTGCCTTGTGAGCTAGTTCACGCCCTCTTAAGTGGTTTTCACATATCCCCTCATGGATTTCTCTCATGGCATAATCGGCTTCCTTAGGGGAAAGGCAGTAGAGTAGCGGAAATGAGTAGCTTTTCTTATAGAGATTGTCTCGTAGGATGACGTACCTCGATGCTCTCATTCTTAACTTTTTGGCTTCCACCAGATTCTCTGGGAGAGCACATTTCTCTAGGTACACTCTAATAGGTGTCATCCAATTGGCTTCGAAGGATGCACAGTTAACATCATTCTCCTCTGCCTGAGCTTGCTTGGCTCAAACTGGTGACCTGTCAATTCTGGCCCCATAAGTATGTTTGTAGATGCGAACTTGGTGAGGGCATCTGTTATGACGTTCTTCTCTCTAGGCACATGGTGAATTTGGAAATGGTTAAAATTTTTCAATAAAACTTGGACCACTGACAGGTATTTTTGTGTCTTTTCCTTCTTTGCTTCAAAATCTCCTTTTACCTGATTGACTATCGGCTAGGAATCGTTATAAACAGTCAGGTAAAGGGCTTACATCTCGATCGCGAGCTCTAAACCTGATATGAGGGCCTCATACTCTACTTAGTTGTTTGATG